TGGGGGGGGGGGGGTGAGTGTTAGGACCACAAGGGGAAGTGATGCGCCGCTTTTTTCTAGCAGTGACGGCCCACCATGCGACGGCCCCTCGTTTGGCACGATTTGTTCACACGCGCGGTGATTTGCGCAACATTGCGGTCATTGCACACGTGGACCATGGCAAGACCACACTGGTGGACAGCATGCTAAAGCAATCGGGAACGCTTGCAGAGGCCCGAAACCGCGTGATGGACAGCAAGGACCAGGAGAGGGAGCGCGGCATCACGATTCTTGCGAAGAACACCGCCATCTTGCTCCCCACAAAGTCTGGCGAGCCGCGGCGGCGCATTAACATCGTTGACACCCCGGGTCACTTGGACTTCTCGGGTGAGGTGGAGCGTGCGCTACAAATGGTGGAGGGTATCATTCTTCTTGTCGACGCTAAGGAAGGTGTGCGCCCTGGCACACGCTATGTGCTTCGTAAGGCGCTTAATCTAAACCTCAAGCCGATTGTCTGCCTCAATAAGATTGACAAGGATGACACTTGCATTAAAAAAACAGAGGATGCCATTCAAGACCTTTTCTTGGAAACGGCAGTGAACGATGACCAACTGGAGATTGCTTTCATGTTCGGATCAGGTCGCGACGGGTACATGAATGAACAGCCGAAAAAGGAAGGCACCCTTGATCCTCTGTTTGACAAGATATTCAGCGTTATCCCCGCGCCAGAGGCCACGGAGGAAGGAAAGCTGCAGATGCTTGTGGCGCAAGTTGACGTCAAGGAGTCTACGGGGCATAAAATTGCTATTGGTAGAATTTTCAAGGGTTCTGTCGCGGTCGGCGACATCGTCACCGTCGCCCTAGAGGGCAAGGAGGTGGATGCTCTGGTTAAGGGTATTCAGCTTTTCGTTGGAGTTGAAAAGGTCGATGTTCAAAGTGCATCATACGGAGATATATGTATCTTGACATTACAGGAACCCATTGGACAGAAGGTTCCAGTAAAGATCGGGTGTACCGTGTGCCACCAGGGTGTGGTTGACAAGTTCCCGTATCGCAAGCCAGACGAGCCCACCTACAGTCTCGTGCTTCAAGCCAGTGGGGCCGGATGGCGGAAAAAAGAAGCACCCGAAAATCTGGGCACCATCACTGCTTTGCAGAAGCGTCTGGAGCGTGAGGCGATGATTAATACCGCACTGCAGCTCTCTGGTCTGGGCACAGAGCACATCACGATGATGGGGCGCGGTCCACTTCATCTTTCTGTAATTGTGGAAGATATGCGGCGAGAAGGGCATGAATTCGAGGTCCAGGCGCCTCGCGTGATGACGAAAACCATCGATGGTGAGGTATGTGAGCCGTATGAGCGTATCCACCTTGAGTTCCGTGATGAACTTGTTTCCGATATGGTTTCCTTTCTGAGTAGCAAAATGGGCGAAATTGGTGAGATCACGCAGTTGTCGAATGGGCGTGTCCTCTTGGATTGTGTCATGCCCGTTCGCTTCATGTCGCAGGTGCCACTGCGCTTCCACACGCTCACCTCTGGCGACGGTGTACTGAACCACAACTTCGAGATGTACCGGCCAATGTCAAGCGTTGACACGGCGCGTGAAACGGGCGCGCTCATCTCTGTCGAGAACGGCGAGGCCACCGATTGGTCACTCGCTGGCCAGGCGCACCAGGGCCGCTTCTTCGTCGTGCCTGGCGACACCGTCTACTACGGGCAGATTGTGGGGGAGAACAGCAAGACGTTGTTCCAGAACCTCGGCATTAACATTTGCAAGCGCAACGAGCAGCTCGGTGGGCTTCGGTCGAACGCAAACGACAAGTCGAGCAGGCGACGCAGCTCGTACGTGGCGGCCCGCGCCACGTTTGAGGATTGCATCGCGTGGGTGACGGACGATGAGCTTGTTACGGTCACGCCGAAGTCCATTCGCATGCGCCAACCGGGTTTCAACGGAAAAACTACGATGCGGAGCGCTTCTAAGAAGAAGTAGCACTCTTTGACTCTTTCGTAGGCGAATGTTGTTTTGTTTTTGTTTTGCTGTGCTGCCTCGTGCTTCTCTGCGAAGGCATTTCTGCAATTGTTCACAGGATTTACACACACATATATATATATATTTCTATAATAGCAAGGGACCATTATTTCGGTTTATTTGACCTGCGAAGCAGCGTTATGCGTGCGGTCGTGAAGAGAAGGGCACTCCGCCAATTCTTCATGAACACGCAATATCTTCACTCTTTCTTCTAATCCTGTCGTATCTTGTGCTCCTTTTCTTTTTTTTGTGCTTGCATGTGTGCGTTTGCAGTTGGGGGCCAGTTGCCAGTTTAGGTCGGTCAAAGGAGGGTACATCATGCTCACGCGCACATTCCCGGTGCTTTTAAAGGCCACCCCCGCCTCATGGATGAAAGTCGTTGTGGGGGTGAAGCGTGTCGTGGACTACACAGTCAAGGTACGCGTGAAGGACAACAAGATTCAAAGCGATAATCTAAAGATGAGCGTTAATCCCTTCGACGAAATTGCGATTGAAGAGGCTATTCAACTGAAGGAGAAGAAGATCGCCAATGAGGTGATCGCGGTTACTATAGGCACCAAAAAGGCGGAGGAGGTTCTTCGCACGGCAATGGCGCTTGGCTGCGACAAGGCCATTCACATCGTTATTCCCGATGGTGACAGTGAAGGGCTGGAGCCGCTGGCTGTCGCCAAAGTCTTTCAGAAACTTCACGAGGAGCTCAAACCGGATATGTGGATCCTCGGCAAGCAGGCAGTGGACGCTGATGTCGGCAGCACGGCTCAACTGCTAGCGGGCCTTGCTGATATGCCGCAGGGAACGTTTGCTTCTAAAGTTGAGGTGAGCAACGACAAGGTTAAAGTGACACGTGAAATTGACGCTGGACATCAGATCGTCGAGCTGCAAACGCCATGCGTCATCGCGGCAGACCTCCGTCTCAACACCCCTCGGTTTCCAAAGTTGCCGAATATCATGAAGGCACGTAAAAAGCCAATTGACGCACGCGATATATCAACATTAGGCGTGGACACGAAGCCGCGGCTGCTAAAACAGGCCGTAACGGAGCCGGCGCCTCGAAAGGGTGGTATTCAGGTGAAATCAGTGGAAGAGTTATATGATAAGCTGCACAACGAGGCAAAGGCCATCTAGTGCAACCTCGAAATGACTTCAACGAGGCTGTCTTGGGAGTTTTGCCATAAAAGGGTAGACGGGGGTGGGGTGGGGAAAGAAGGACTAGCAAAACGTAGTTTGCTTCGCCAATGAAACAAGAAGGGAGGGGGTAGTGAAGTATGCAGACGGGGCTGATGCGAGCGTTGGGGGAATGTATAAAGGGCGTTGTTTCCAGTCCTGTAACTAGTGCCAAGTGTGACACGCCAGTGAGTCTATGGAGGGAGGGCTAATTAGACAAATAGAGACACTGTGCGCATGCATAAGGTTCTTGTGTCTTTCTATCGGTCATTTGTTTCTCTGTGGTTTTTGTTGTTGTTGCTTTCCGTTAGTTTCAGCTTGATCTTGCTGGTGTGACGTCTCCACCGGACTACGTGGTATGAGATGCTCTCTGACACTGTGCAAGGTGACAAAGGTGCCCACACACAGCGTTGTACCGGCGGACGCACTTCGTTATCATCCTCGGTATTCCGTTCCGCGCAAAATGGTCCTCAGTAGCTCTTTTGATGCCGTGGATGAGAGCAATCGATTTGTTTCACTACGACTCTTATTGGAGAAACTTAGTGGGTGTGTTGGGAGGAGGCAGTACAAGATGCTTTGTGACCTCACTCGGCACTTTGACAAACTGAAGGATGAGGGAATAGACTGGCATGAGCTCAAGTGGCTGAATCGCGAGGAGCTTCTCGATCTCTTTGAAAACGTTTTGCAACTTACACATGCTGAAAGGGCTGTCCTCCTACCGGCTCTGGAGGCAAAGATGTGCGGCGTTCTTCGCCGTGCGGACACGCGACATTCCACAACACTTTGTATCAATCGGGGTGTTTCCGAACATGGATGGCGCTGCGGACTGTACGGCCACACGAACGATGTCTATTTTGAGGGTAAAGCCAAGGCGAACCCTGCGGCTCTGCAGTTGTGTCATCGTTCCTCCATAAGAAGCGTGGAGCGTTCCGGTGTTCGTGTCGATGTTCGAATGGCACCGGACTTTTCTGTTGTGGGGCGGTTTAATCATTCCCTCAGCCCACGTGTCTGGAGCACGCCGGAGAACCCGACCTTCCAGGTTTCCACGATAGGATACGAGTTCCGCGTCCACCCCGACGATCCGCGGGTGAGGCCACAGATCGAGGCGGCAGCAGAGGAGTGGGAGCTTCATGCGGCCGTCACGCAGCAGGTTGTTTGGGAGATGCTGGAGATGTACGCTGTGGAGAGAAGTTCACAGCCTCTGGATTTGAAGCCGGGCGAAATGGGTGCTCCAGACTGCCCGAGCTCGTACTCCAGCGCGTTTACTGTGCGGATCGAATCCCCGCACAACGGCAACACTGTGACAGAGCAACGGATGATGTCACCAGATGGAAAGGAGGTGCCGTGGTTTAGGGAGCCACCTCAGCAACAGTTCGCCGACGGGATTCCTCTGATTTTACCCTTTGCACCCTCCGTAATTGTGAGAAGTTCCTTCCGGCAGGTGTCGCGTGCGTCACCTGATGATGTTTCACGTCAGTTACTACAACCTGTTGTTGACGTAACATGCTTTATTCACCCTCTGGTTTGCTTTTGGTGGAGCGAGGAGGATGAGGAGCGCTGCCTCTCTCATATAGTCGAGTACGCGAAACGTATCCCCTTCGCGCTGCCATTCAACTTGTACCTTCGTGTTGACACCTCGAAGGACCTCAGAAGTCACCCGAAGAGGGTGGAGGAGATGGCAAAGCGTCAGAGGGAGAAGGAGGACTTTTTTGATTTACGGCACTATCACAAACTTGGGGCTGACTTGCCGAGGGATTAGCGCCTTCAGATTCTCATATGGCAAGTTTCGGAGAGTGAATACCAAACAGTTTAGCGAGACTAACCAAAGGGAAATGAAGAAAGAGAGAGGAGAAAAAAAAAAACAAGGTAATTGGGAAACATTTCCATTAGTTCTCATCTGTGATGGCTGGGGCGCGTTATTATTTTTTGTTTTCCTGCATTTTTGTTCCAACACGCTTAGACGTTTGCATACCTTCCAACTATCTCGAAGCGTCATCCTGCTTTTCCTTTGCCCGCTCCCCCTCCTCACTCTAAGAGAAAGGCAGCAGAATCTCCTTTTCGTTACCCCACGGGTGGGCATAATATCTCGGTTTATCGAAGCTTTCTTGGGTATACTTCATCCAGACCCTTAGGATGAGTGTTGCCGAGTTGTCAACAAGGCGACTGTTCAAGTCAAGAAGGGGGGACCACGACAGATAGTGCTGGACGGTGTCCTGGAGGAACCGTCTGGTGGTGCTGTTGGGAAATCTGTCGGGAGCGTGCATTTCAGGTTGCCTTCGCGGGGAAGGCAGGTTGTGCATTTTTATAGGTGGTGAATCCGGAAGCGACAAGAAACATATGTTTCGTTTTGCCGGTGGCAGACTTGAGTATAGGTTGGTTTCTCTGTGCGTTACAGGCGATGGAGGAGAGCGGTGATGTCAACCTGTGCGTTCTTCTTGATTATAATGACACCATTCAGGACTTTGTGTCTGGCTTGGGCAGCTTGAAGATCTGGGAGGAGGAGTGCGCGGCGGTGTTGTAGTTAACGGAACTGCTACCGTGCAGCCCACCTTGGCAGCAGAGGGTAGGCTACACATCAGGAAGTCTCCTTCTTGTCGCGGTTGCCATAAATATTTCGTCGTGCTTCTGGAGACAACGTGTTTCCTTGTGCTTTTACCCGGCCGTTGCAGGGTTGCATCACTATCATTGAGGCGTGCGACAGTGAGGCGTGCCCAGTCGTTCCAGCCTCTGCCACGGCGGAAGTTACGGCTGAGAAGGAGAGCAACAATAGTCTCTTTTTGTGGGTTGGAGATTTGCGGATTGAGTAGCACACATGCAGATCTGAAGGTCATTGGCTTCCGCAACACAAGGCTGGACCAGATGACTCAGTCCAGTCTGTCTGCTGCTATTGAAGAAGAGGGCCATAGGGCTCAGCTGATATCTGTGAAAAATGCGATGAGCTTCATCAAGGAAATTGAGCTCATGGTTTCGTACTGTAAAGCGTCTGTAAAACGGGAGGGCCTGAAGCCAGCTAGTGAAAACTAGAAAAGGATTGCATTTCTGGATGAGACGGTCGCAAAAGAGGTCAAGTCTAACAAACCTCCTACAGGAAGCCGCAAGACGTGCGGAGACTGCTGCTGTTAATCGCGCAGAGAGCATGTCGTGTAGAACAAGGCAACTCCAAGGAGATAGCATGTAAGATTGTAAGCTGGCAGAGGAGTCTGCGCTTGTGGCCAATAGACGAAACTTCGTGACCTTGCACGACCTTTGGCGGCTCTGTTCCTTTCATCTTTGCCACACGTAAAACAAAAAGGCCACAGGAGTGTTGGATAGAGCAGCGAGGTATGGTGCAACGCCGCTCGAATTGCTTCAGGCACAATGAGGAAGTTTCAGCTTCTGCCTCCCAGAACGAAAAATACCCGGAAGACTCGAACGATTCGACGCGTGATGATGATGATGATGA